GTACTGTGTGCAATTATTTTCTTGCTTGTAATAATAACAATGGTAATATTTAGAATGGAAGGGTGAGCTGAGCTGGAAAGCAAGATGTTAAAGAAAGGGGAAAACAAATACACAGACAAGAGGTAGAAAGCAGAACAAGGTTTCAGACAAGAAAGCTTCAAAGGAGAGATCACCCACAGAGTGGGAGAAAATATTTGCCAATTATACATCAGACAAAGGACTGATAACCAGAATATACAGGGAACTTAAAAAACTAAATTCTCCCAAAACTAATGAACCAATAAAGAAATGGGCATGTGAACTAAACAGAACTTTCTCAAAAGAAGAAATTCAAATGGCCAGAAAACACATGAAAAAATGCTCACCACTCTCTAGCAATAAAAGGAAATGAAAATTAAAACCAACTAAGATTCCACCTCACCCCTGTTAAATAGGCCATCATCAGCAACACCACGAACAACAGGTGTTGGCGAGGATGCGGGGAAAAAGGAACCTCTTACACTGTTGGTGGGAATGTAGACTAGTACAACCACTCTGGAAAAAAATTTGGAGCTACTTAAAAAGCCGGACATCGATCTAACCATTTGATCCAGCAATACCACTCTTGGGGATATACTCAAAAGACTGTTACTCCAGAGGCACCTTGCAATCATCCATTGTTTATCAGCACTATTCACAATAGCCAAGTTATGGAAACAGCCAAGATGCCCAGCACTGATGAATGGATTAAGAAAAATGTGGTATCTATACCAATGCCATTTTATGCAGCCATGAAGAAGAACGAAATGTTATCATTTGCTGGTACAATGGATGGAAATGGAGACATCATTCTGAGTGAGGTTAGCCTGGCTCAAAAGACCAAAAATCGTATGTTCTCTCTCTATGTGGACATTAGATCAAGGGCAAACACAACAATGGGAATTGACTATGACACATGATAAAAGCGAGAGCACACAAGGAGGGATGAGGATAGGTGACACCTAAAAAACTAGCTAGCATTGTTGCCCTTAACGCAGAGAAACTAAAGCAGATACCTTAAAAGCAACTGAGGCCAATAGGAAAAGGGGAACAGTACTAGAGAAAAGGTTAGATCAAAAAGAATTAACCTAGGAAGGTAACACCCATGCACAGGAAATCAATGTGAGTCAATGCCCTGTATAAGCTATCCTTATCTCAAACCAGCAAAACCCCTTGTTCCTTCCTATTATTCTTATACTCTCTCTACAACAAATTAGAGATAAGGGCCAAAATAGTTTCTGCTGGGTTTGGGAGGGGGAGCGGGAGGGGGCGGAGTGGGTGGTAAGGGAGGGGTGCGGGGCGGGGGGAGAAATGACCAAGCCTTGTATGCACAATGAATAATAAAAGAAAATGAAAAAAAAAAAGAAAGCTTCAAAGGTATAAACATGGGAGCATTAGTGTACTAATCGATAGTAAGCTGCAGACAGATTTAGAGGACAAGATAGGATTGAAAATAAAAATAAAAAAAAAGATAGGAATTAATAAAAATAAAAAATAAATAAGTAAATGAAAGGAACTATCTATATATAAAGATGAATTAAATAAAATGGAAAATAAAACAAAAAACCAAAAAACTCCAAGTTCAAATGCAAGAAGTTCAGTCATTAATAATTTGGTGTCCTCCCAGTCTCAATCCTGGAGATGGATGCCTCAAGATGTTGTTCTGTAGTTGTCTCATCAAAGGGAGACGCATAAAGTAGAACAAAACTACATCACACACACACACGACACACAACACACCATACACACCACACACACACAAAAAACCCCACCAAGTGTCCCCAGTTTCAAATGCAATACAGTTTCAGTAAGTTTTTCGGCTTTGCAGGTGTAATTCGGTTGTTCTCTCATCAAAGGTAGTGAGAAAAAGGAAAAAAAAAAGCGTCTGGAGACAGTTCTGAGGTGGTATTCTGCAACTGTGGCTTGCCTGCCTGCTGCTGTCAGCCTGTGTGCAGCATATTTATGCAGATCTCTGGGGTGAGCTTAGCACATCACCTGGTCCCACAGGCTTTGTTTGCTCAGAGTTCTCCTGTGCGGGAGCCTCTGCTACAGGCTTTCCCCTTTCCAAGCACTGGGAAAGGTGACACTGCCTCGCGTTGTCAGGCCTGTGTGTTTATTTACAGGTCACGTGGGAAGTGGGTCTTCCCCCCTCTCCTGTGCAGTTTTCCTCCCAGTGCCACTTTCACAAGCTTTCCTGCTCCTGATTACTGGGCGGTGCTGCTGCTCCTGCCGGCCACCATGTTAATTTACAGTTCACGTGGGAAGTGGGTCTTCCCTCCTCTCCTGTGGAGTTTTCCTCCCTCCGCCACTCTCACAAGCGTCCCACTCCTGTTTGCTGGGCACACACCCCTGCTCCCGCCAGAGCCTCTCCGGCCCGCCCGGCCTGTTTATTTTCAGTCCCGGGAAGGATTCCCTTCCCCCAATCTTCAGCGCTCAGGGCGCCCCACCCTCTTTCCAGCATGTCTTAACTGTTCTTATTGCTTGTTACTCAGTTTCTCTTTTTTTCCCGGGTGGAGGTCAGTCTGTCCAGGGGGCTATGCTGCTCTGGCCCAGGCTTGTCTGTGGGGCTACTGCGGTACCGCGAAGCTCACCTGGTCCGCGTCTTCCCGAGGCATCTGGGCACCGGCCACTGGCGGCCCCGGGGGCCCTCCTCATTTCTTCATTTAAAGTAAAGTGGAGATTCTCTGCACCGGCTGGAGATGTGGAGGGGTCAAGGTTATGCCTTTTCTCGGTGATTATGCCTGCAAAGTGTGTCTCCAGCATCTCTCCAAGATTTCACTATAGGAGGCTCGCTTTCTGCTTCCTACCTCTAGCCGCCATCTTGGAATCCGCCTAATTAATTTATTTTAAAACGGTTTTTGAAGTTGAGTCAAAAACCATTGGGTTGGAGACACTTTAACTATTTATTTTGCTCAGCCTCAGTTTGTAAGGAATATCTGTGGCACCAGAGGCTACCAGTGACATGGCTATAGTCAAACACAGTTGAGTTTCTTGCCTCATTGCAGGGAGGGGAGACACACACTGTGGGTATAAATAAGCACGATAGAAAGTTGATAGGATCTGGGCTGGGGTTCAGTGGTTTGGGATGGTTCTTAAACATTTGTCTTGCTCTGGGTGCTATCAGGACCCAGTCCAAGAATTCTACGATTTGGGGCATCCTAGTGAATCTTACCTAAAGGCAAGAAGCATAGAGCCAGCATAGGATAATGCTTGTGCTGTTGTTCAGACAGCATTGTGTTTTTTTGTGTTGAGGCACAATTTTAAAGGGGTCTTGTTTTACCTGGATTCATCATGGTTACTGAGTAGCCTTGTCTATGAAGCTGTGTATGTCTAACAGATGCTGTGGCCCGGCGTAGGTGTCAGGCCAGTTCCGAAAGACACCATAGCTCAACAGAGAGTATCAGGGCAGCTTCCACCCACTGGGGACTGCTTTCTGTTTCTTAGACCATCTTTGTGCTAAAGTAAGAGGAAATTGGGCCACAAGACATTGATACCTAGAACTAGGCCACTGTGTAGTGAAACTAAGGTTGGTCTCTCCTCTCTTGATGACTTGTAACTGATGTGACAGAGTTTACAGAGGCACAGCAAGAAGTGTTGGCTTCAGTACAAATTTTCCTTTAGCCAGCTAAGAAAAAAATCAAAGGCTATGTGATCACTTGTGACAACTGTAGGTAATGCATTTACATTTAAATTGGTTTGTTGGGCTTCTAGTTCACCTGTATTATTTCTGATGTCTTGTAGTGAAAGAGGGAAGTTTGGGCCACTGTTTTTGCTTATATTGCGAGTACTGTACACTTGAAAGAGAGTCAGTATTCCCTCCTGAACTGCCTGTGCTTGCCTCATTTGGGAGGTTCTGGGTATTCTTAGGGAAGCATAATCCACTGGAGATGGGAATTTAAATACTTGGAAGTTCTGTCTGTTTTCCTGAAGACACTGAGGAGTTAGTGTGCCATAAGCCCATGGTATCTGAGAACAGTATCCTCACTGGGCACAGACTGTGCTGGGAATTAGTGTCACTTACCCATTCAGGAGTGAACCAGTTCTCTTGGCTCTGGGCAGGTAACTTGAGTGATATGCCATCCCTGCCAAGCAAGCCGCACTGGCCCTCCAGAGAAAAACTGAGCGCATAGCAAGGATTGCCCCAAGTCTTTAGGTCTGGCTTCTTGGTAGGACGATGACAGTCTCAGCAGAAACATTTGTTGCTTAGGGTCCATTCTTTTATTTCCTGGGTGCCTCCTCTGTCAGGTAGGTGGCCAATTTGTTACCTGGATGTTAACTTGGAACACCTGATGTGATTTATGTCTGTACCAGACCTTTCCCTGTAAAGTCACTTTTTTTTCTCTTTGCATTTACTCAGTATCTTACGGGGAACACTTAGAGTGTGTGTACACACACATGTGTATGTATATATCTGTATATAGAGAAATGTATATATGACTACTTAAGCGTTATGAGTTATATGAGACTAGAATGTACTAGTTATGTGCACTACTTACAACTAGCTATACATGCAACTATACATACATGCATACTTGCACATACACATATACTTATAGACACACACAGGAGATGTGTGCTATAACCTATCCATATGTTTACCCTATTCCTCAAATTTCACATTTATTGATTCTTGTATAAATAAATTATTACCGTGATGTACCTTAAAGAAGAACTTCTTTTGCATTTATTAGTTGGTGTTTTATTGTAAAGAAGAGCTTCCTCATCTCTCTCCTTTACCTTTTCATCTGCTCACTTTACATCATCTCCCTCTCCATGGTGAAAACTTTGAGCCCACACCCATGCCTCCAATTTTCAGTTCACCCCCACCCCAGGGTTCATCTCAGCCTCTTCCTTTTCTTACCAGGCTGCCTCCTCCTCCCATAGCCACACTGTACTTGCTTGCTCACTGTTCCAAACACCACCCTGCTTGGCAGCTTCTCAATGGCCTGCACGTTAAAATTCCCTGTCTGCCCTTTCCTTAGAACCGGATTTCTCATACTTGGAAGCACTGGCTCCCTACCAGCCCTTGGCCATGAAGTGCATATACTGCCCCATTGATACGCGCCTGAATTTCATCCAGGTGTCAAAACTGCTTAAAGAAGTGCAGGTAAGGAAGGAAACTGCCAGCGTTTTCACGCGGTCATGTTACTTCAGTGTAGTTTGCAGATGGGCAAGTGGCGGGATACCTGCCTACATGTATGTCCCAGTCCTCTTCAGTTCTCAGACATGTGCAGAATGCTGTGACATGGACTTTTGCCCTTCAGACTTAAAGTGATGGCCTTTATACCCTGAATTCTTTCCCCTCTAAAGCCAGCAAAAGGAGAAGGGAGAGAAAGCATATGCAGTCAGTCACTTTTGAAGACCAGTTGTGTCAACTTAAAAGCAGCTCATTGCTGCAAGCACAAAAAAAGGTCATTCTAGAAACCTACTCACTAAGCTGAAAGAATGTTTAATTGGAACATGTACTGAGCCCAGGTTACACACGTGGGCTAGTACCCACAGTGTTGTTTTGGTTTGGGTTATATTGTTTTGCTTTGCATTTTCTGCCCTGGAGAATGGAAAGAAGTAGTAGGGTAAAACAGTAGATTAAAGAACGAATCTCTGCAGAGAATGCGGAGGAGGCATGGAAACAGTGACAGCACTGGGCCTGTAAGTTTTGGCACTTGGGAGTGGAGAGGTGATTAAAGTTGCAAGGAAGACAGTTTAGCCCGGGGCAAAGCAATAGTTCTGAGATGCCATTCCCTCAGCATCTTCACGAGCTCGAATGAGGACTAGTGCCCTGGCACTCCTTCTGGCCTCTTCACCTGGTCATTTAGCGAGGTGTCATTAGCTCCCTTCATTTCCTGGCCTAGGTCAGAAGTTCTCTGTCTTTCTCTGCCATCAGGATGAAAGGCCCATTTACAAAATGCTAAATAGGAAACTGATAATCTCAGAGTAAGTTCTGGTGGTCACCAACTTGCTGCTACAAGGAAAGAATATGGGTTTCTCTAGGCCTGATGAGAGAGAGAGCCCAACATTGGGCCTACATGGTGTGATTTGATGCCCCCTCCGTGCTCATCAGCATGCTGGAAGAAATAATTAAGAGTCTGTTATTTTTCATTACTAAGTAACTTCAAATCCCAGTCCCTAAATCAGGTGTGTGCTCTTTACACCCTTCTGTCATATGCTCACATTTGCCCTCTGGTCTCCTGTTTTGGAGAGTAAACCTAAGAGAACCCCTCAGGCTATGATGGAAGAGTCAGGAGACTTTGAGTTAGAGATGTAAGATACTAGCCAGGTCAGGAAGAACAACAGGCAGTGTTCTTCAGTTCCGCCTGTTAGAAATCCTTGTTCTTCAAGGAGTTTCTGACTTGGTTCAAACTCTTAAGAACAGGGACAATACGGTGACCCCATGGATTGCTATCAGTAGTTTTCAGTTGGGTGGTATTTGTCCAAAATAAACACTGGTTTACTAATTTTTTTCTCAACAAAGCTGAGAAAAAGTTTCTCAAAAAAAGTTCCATCTCTGATTCATTATCATAAACAGTTTAGTCAGTGCCCAGTGCCTACTGCTTAATACCAGTTTCAGAAACTGCAAACCGAGTCTGCCAGGGGCTTGTTATAGGAAGACTGTGTCTCTGAAGTGACTTGGAGGGAGTAGCTCATGGATGTCACTGTGGAAGTTACTTAAATACAGTGAAAAAAATAAAACAAATACAAACCAGGACAATTAAATCCTTCTGTCACCAGCACAGTTTGCAGCTCAGAGGGTTTCCCCAAAATGTTCATTCTGCTTTTCCTGCACGGTGCACATCTCTCCTCTCACCACTTAGTTGGGCTTGAGAGGATGAGAATTCCATATGGTCTGAGCGTGGCGGGCCTGGGCAACCAGGAAGCTAGAATGAGGATAAGGAAAAGGCCTGCGTGGGATGTTCTGCTTGAGGCCTCTTCTGCTTTTCTGCCTTCTCCCTTGACCGTCTCATCGCTCCTCAGCCCCTGCACGTGGTCTGTCCTGAGCAGTACACCCAGCCGCCCCCGGCCCAGTCACACAGGATGGACCTCATGATTGAGTGCCAGCCTCCAGCCATGTCCTATCGGCGGGCCGAGGTCCTCGCCCTTCCCTTCAAACGACGCTATGAGAAGATTGAAATCATGCCTGAGGTAAGCTTTTCTCTTTCTCATGGTTACACGTGGGGTTTCCACTGGAGTATATTGAAGAAAATGGTGACTTTCTTTTGAGTTTGTGTCAAATATGAACAAAACATAAACCCTTTAGCAAGTAACTGGAAGGGAGGTGGGACTTTTAGGACCCTGGGTTTTCAAGTCTACTCCTTATGTTATCATTCAGCAGTGTGACCCAGTCATGGCTCAGCGCCTTGGAGGATGGAGATGCTGGTGCTGCCCTGTCCTTAACTGCCTTCCAGCAGTGGGTTTTTTTCATCCTTCCTGGACCTCACATAAGAGCACGGGACAATTTTCATTGCATTCATAGAGAGATGGAGGAGATAAGAGTAACTGACAACGAAGGAATGTAAACTTATTGTTTGCATAAACTTTGGCATAATTTAAAGGTTTTGGTCCATCAGAGTCTAAGTATTTTAAGTATTTGTGAAAAATCTTACCTTCTGTTTCAACAGGGAAGAAGTAAAAGCATATTGTGTGTGTGGAACAGTTGAGGTGGGTGGTGCTTAGGTGACTCATCAGGGGAAGAGAGCAAGAAGATCAGCCCTCCTGAGGTGACAGGGTAGCAAGAGCAGGAGGCTGTGCTGGCTTCCTTTGCTCTAAGACACCTTGAACATGTTTTTAACAGACAGTAAAAAGAAATAGAACATAGCATTAAAACCAGTGTGCCCCAAATTCTTTCTTGGGTTTTAAGGTTCAGAGAACCTTGGGTTTTAAGGTTCTAGCTTGTGAATGGGGGATGTAAGCTCCTGAATGCTGCTCTTTCTGTTACCCTGAGAAGGCCGGTACAGACCCACTTTCCGGTTCATTGATTCCTTTCCAGAAGTGACCAGAATAGTTTTCTTAATTGAGAACAATAGACAAAGAAGATCCAAGCCAATTTTAATCATTAATTCAGATAAAATTGATTCAGTGACACAAAACTAAGAAGCTTTTTAAAAATGCAGGCAATTCTGTTTTTTATTAAGGCATATGTATGTAGATTATCATCACATTTTTAGCCATTCCTGTGTCACTGTGGTTCCTTGGGAGGGTCCTTCCCAGTACAGTGTTGTGAGCAGCCGAGTGTCAGCAGCTGGGGCCAGCAGTCGGTAAGGAAGATTGAAGGACAAGGCCTGCTGGCCTACTAGCAGAGCCCACTGTCAACCCTCTGCAGAGCCCACAGCTCATTCTGCATGTCCTTGGAGGAGGATTTGACTGTTGAAAATAATTTTTTCAAGTTATTTGTAGTTAAGTCTGGTGATCAAGATGCAGTGATCAAGCGAGGTAATTCTGGCTCAACACAAACTAATTTGAAAGCAGTGATACTGATCTCCTAGTAAGTCTTAGAAATTGGTTATGAAGACTGTTTTAATCAGGGAAGTCAAAAACGTGCTAAGCAATCAACTACAAAAATAAGTATGTACAACTTCTCAAGCTGCTTCTGAAAGCCCTGGATGTCTGTGGTCTAATAATTCCCTCAAAAGAAAAATAAAATTCTAGTTGAAGCTTGTGAATTCAGCATTACGAACTCTTGTCTTGGCTTAAGCACCTTTCAATCGATTGGCTGGGCAGTTTCTCTTTGATTATACTCATTCCTAAAGGAAGTGGCAAGTTCTTCCCCAGCTGTCTAGGTGACTGGTCAGTCCTCCCTCTGCTCTTTGGCAAGAGATTACTACTCTTAGATTTTTGTGTATTGCTTGTCTGTTCATTGTTTTGTGGAGTTATGCCTCATATGCTACCTTTTCTCACCTAGTTATAAGTAAATTATGTTATTAAAGTTATTTCAGAAGCTTCAATTTTAATGGCTGCATAATGGTCTAGCATAAATATAATTTACTAAACTGCTTATTGGTAGAAATTTATTATTTCTGTTTTTTCTACATTATAAATAGTACTTTCAGAAATGTCCTTATATGTAAACCTTTCTCCATACATATATTCCCATAGGAATTTTTTTCTCATAGGAATTTTTCAAAGCTCATGGATCATGTTTACAGCTCCAGGTTGCATTTTGCCAGCTGTTCTGAAGAAAGAGCACAGCATTTACACTCCCCCGAGAGAGTGGGAGACAGTGCTCTTTTCTGCCTCCATGCTACATCAAGTCTCTGCTGGTTATATAAGTACACTTTGATTTCTCATTCTAAACTGTATTGCTTTGATTATTTATCAATGGGAAAACTGTCTCAACCCAACTTGCTGCAGGATTTCTTTTGCCTTTAAAATGGGCATTATGACAAAGAAACTTCTTAGTCACATTTAAAGTCAAACCTTTCATTTATGCATGGGCAGCCACCTTCGAGAAAATTGAGAATCCTCATGTTTCTTGAGCTAATGGTTAATCTTAAAAGGCTAATTCAGAAAAAAGTGACTCTTCCTGGACGGAGCTCCAGTAGTCCATGGCCCCATCTTGATGAGGACAGCTGACATAAAGCCAGCCAGAGCTCACAGGCTTCACCTCTGAAAGTCATTGAGCACTCCTGTCCTCCCTCCATATGATGTGACATGGAGCATTTGTAGCCTGGGAGCTGGAGGAGGCCTCGGGTTCCTTACATTTAATTCTCCACTCTTCAGTGGAAGACACAAACTCTGCTTGGTTGATGCTGGTGCTCCTCTTTGCCACAGATTTGTGTGAACTCCTGGTAACTTACTTAGCAGGAAAAAATGCACATTTTGCTGCAGCTTAAATTCACTTGCTCCTCATTTGCTCAGTAAGGAATGAGAACAGCTGGTCACCATCCCCTGGTGGGTCTTAGGTGTCCTGACACAGAGACAACCCCAAATGAAAGCCTTTTCTCCAAAGCTCATCCTGCCTGAAGTGCTGCTGCACTCATGGGTTTTCTTTTTACATTCTCCCCTGTGCCCCTGGACAAGCCTCTTTCTTCAGTTAGAGAGATGGAGGAAGGGGCTTCTAAAAGGACCTTGGACACAAAGAAAAAAGGGAACGCATAACTCTTAAGGGTCAGAAAAAGTGGCCAAGAACATGTAGTGGGGGACTGAGGCTCTGACTGTGGTGCCTTAGAGTTTACCCTACAGTGCCCTTGAGTAACGGAGGAGGGGACAGGGACATGGGAGGAGTGGGTCCCCAGCTACAAGTGAACCTCTGTCCACATCCCCAACACTCATGTTCTAGACCTGCCTTTCAGATATCTTTTTTGAAAAGTGGCTTCCCCTTGGAGAAAAGAAACAGTTCAGAAAACAGCGTACTGTAGACGAGTGGAAACGACCTTAGATTAATGGCAGCTGCTGATGGCAACCCCTTCCCTTTCTCCTCCACAGCGGCCAGGCCCTGGACGGAAGCAGCTGCACTATTTCTAGGTTCCACTTGTAGGAAGATAGAGGTTGTCCTGGTTCTTAAAGTACAGTGTAAAACAGAATCAAAAGTCTCATTTAAACTCCTGCCTGGCTGCTTTTTGTTTGCTACTACTATGGGATGTTTGTCCCTCTAATGAAGAAGTATCCTTGGCTTCTTTGTAAGTCTCCCTTCCTGGTTGCTGCAAGAGCAGAGTGGGTGCCTGAGCCGCCAGTCCTCACTGGAAAGCCTGCTTCTTGGGGAGGGCGAGTGGTGCCCTTTCCCGCAAGCAGTGCTGCGCTGCATGAGCTGCCCACTAATGACGCATACTCTGTGAATAGCCCACCTTGAACCTTCTGGGAAATAGCTCACAGCCGCCCAGGGAGTCTCTCACCTGCTTGGCTTCCATAATGCCATCCTCAGACCTCCCAAACCTGCCTGGCCTGTGTAGGGAATGATCGCTTGTAGGGAGGAATGCATGTTTATGGCTGGGCTGAGGTGAAGGACAGGACCTGGTGTTGACAGGAGGATGTCGCATACCTGTCCCTGTGGGCAGGAGTGCCTCACTTTCCCAGGTATGCTTTCTTACTTCATGGAACAGCCTCATGGGCTGTTTGCTGATCTGTTTAACTACCATAAGCTGCTTCCTCTGCTCGCTGATACTGAACTGTGTTTACAGAAGGGCATCCTGCAGAGTTTTGGGTTTAAATGACAGTGGCTTGGCTGGGTAGAGGTTTGTGTGTCTGTGAAGATGACACTTAGGCGCCTGAGGTTTGAACTCACTGCAGTGTCTGTGTACAGGAGAAAGGGGCCAGTCTCGTTGGGGTTATAGGGAAAGAGACAGCATCTTGGTAAGAGCTGTGTGTCTTGCCGTTGGGAAGTCCTTGGATTTCCAGGAATTAGCTCACTTCACTCACAAGCTGCTGTCTCTATCCTCCTTCCAGGATACTAGTCATCTGGAGAGGGCAGGAGGGGGAGTCCAAGGCCAGAATAAACGGAAACATTGCACTTGGTGTGTGTTTTCATAACCTTGTAGGTCTCAGAGGCTCTGAGAGTGATGGCCTGAGGTCAAGGCACCAGATGTCATGCACCTGGTAGGTGGTATGGAGTAACTAAGAAAAGGAAGATAGGGAAGGGTCGGCACACTGAGGTCCAGCACACAGTGACATGCAGCTGCCTGGATGATCCTTGCTGTGGTGTTCAGGAGCCACTGTGCAAAGCCCCCTGAAGATGCCACTGCCTCCACCCCCTTTACCCTCTGTCTTCACTTCCCTCCTCCTTCATTGGAATTGACAGATTTATATGCATGATTAATGTGGTTTTTTGTTTAAAACTTTTTAAATAATATCTTTACCTTCTTAAAGTTATTTGTTCATTTTAGACTACAATGGTATAAGTAAAAGTCAAAAGAGAAAAATGGAGTCACTAGAGGCTCAGCCTCCCTTGCGGATGACAGTAACTTTCCTGCCAGGCTGCTGCAAGCCTGGTGCTGTGGTGCACTGAGCCTCAGGTTCACCATACACCCTGGGGCTCTTCACAGTAGGATGAAGCCAAAACCCTATGGCCTCATTGCTCTTGATGCTCAACACCATCTCCTCCGGTCCCGTCAGAGGGAGCCCTCCTGAAACCCTGCATTTGTTTCAGCTTGCAGACTCCCTGGTGCCCATGGAGATCAAGCCTGGCATCTCCTTGGCAACTGTCTCAGCTGTGCTGCACACTAAAGATAACAAGCACGTGCTTCAGGTACCATGGGTGGGTGGATGCTGGGCAGGAACCCAAGAGAGGCCCCTCCCCTCAGGAAGGTGCTGGCAGCCCATCCAACTCCCCCAGCACCACTTCGCAGCCAGCAGGAGTTGGAGACCCGGCCACTCGGTGCAAATTTGAAACAAAGCAGGCAGTTCATATGAATTCTTTGCCACCATTTTCTCTGTCCACACCTCAGAAAGATGAAAGAGACACTGGTGTTACTGGAGATGAGGCCACACATCATCCTAAGTGGTGGCCACAGTTCCAGAAGTAAGAGCATCACTCCAAGTGTCCCTGAGCACTGTAGGGCAAGGTGACTGTGGGAGACCTGGGAAGCAGTAGATACAGCCCTGCTCAGGAGGCCTGGAAATACAAACACCATGGTAAAACCATGAGGGCCTGAGGCCTGACGCATGGGTGAGCAGCACTTGTCCCTTTAGAAGAATTTCTTTCCAACTGGGACTGCGTGCCCCTGGATAGCTGCCACTTAAAGGTTAGGCACTAGTCCAGATCCTTCATCTGCATTCTTATGGATACTCCTCACAAAACTCCCTTAATATTCTCATTTTATAGGCAACTTCTTGGATCTTCAGTTTCCTAACAGGTTCCACAGCCAGAAGGTCACACAGCTAGGATTTGGCCAAGTCAGATTCTCCAGTGTGCCACTGCTGTGCCTGTGACTGCCAGCAGTCTAGTAAGAGGAATTTGCTCAGCAAATACTGAATTAAATTGAAAAATTTAAAAATGAATCTAGATAAAAGTCAGAGATCTTAGCCAAATAAAGTGTTGCTCCCATGCAAATGGTTTTGCATTAGCTTGCTTGCACTGCCACCATGGAGCCCCACCTGGGTGTTTCACAGTGCTCTGGCTCCAGACCATCTGGGGTCCCATGGCCTCTGTATCAGGGAAGAGACTCCCACAGGACCTGATGGGGATGAGTCAGAGGAAGCACTCAGAGACAGCCTGCTTTCCTTCTGTCCCAGCCCCCTCCCAGGCCCACCCAGCCCACCAGCAGTAAGAAGAGGAAGCGAGTGAGTGAGGACTTGCCTGACTGCAAAGTGCTGAAGCCTCTGTTGAGCGGCTCCATCCCTGTGGAGCAGTTTGTGCAGACCCTGGAGAAGGTGAGTGCAGGGCTCACACTGGCCGTTGCTCATAGTCATCCCTGGCCCCAAAGAACATGTTGTGGCTTTTCACTGAGGCCCCACCGTCCAAGCTGCTGTCAATAGTGTCTGCTTGGTCCAAGGTTGTGCCAGGGAACAGAACCAGCGAAAGATACAAAGAGAGGAGCAAAGAGAATGCCTTCCCTTCCCAGCTGCCCCCAGTTGCTTCTCGCCACCAGCCCTGCCTTGCTGATCAGCACTAGGTAGGAGAGCATCTCTTCAAACCCACTTCCTGCGGGGACTAGGCTGAAGAAAACTCTCTCCAAAACACAGATACGGCAGAAGGATAGGGCTGGCAAGGCCAGGATAAAGGCGAATCCTTCCCCACTGCAGCCACACTCTTCCACAGGATGACCACTGGCAGCCCAAAGGCCACGTTGAGTGTCAAAGTTGAAGGGGGTTCAGTGTCGCTAAGTCCCTGGGAATTTGGAAAAAAAGTCATGACTCTCAAACAGAGCCTTTTCCAAGAGGCTAATATAGATGAGGAAGTAAAAAGGTGACAGGCTTGTCGTCTTATGTGTCCCACATTTGTTTTCGTGGTTCACAAGCCTTTGGTGGGGATTAGGGTTTTTTTTCCTTCTTTTAAATTTTATTTACCTGCCTATAGTGCTATGCCTACTGGGAAACACAGTCCCTAAAAGTCAGTAAAGTGAACCCATATTTGACAGGAGGGGCAGTCAACTAGGAAACACATTGGTCCTACCCTTCTGTCTCAGCAGCCATCCCTCCCCTTAGCTCTAATGGCTGCTTCAAGAAGGGATTTCTTGACTTAAAAAAAATCCAACCTTAAAGGGGTTAGTAATTTTGGCTTTAGTCACAGGACTTTGGTGATCAGGATTACAGAGTCCACGATAGGAAGAGGAGTGATTGGTTAAAGATGATAAATACTGTTCATGCTTCTTGTGAGGAAAGTTGACCCTTTTGTCCACCTGAAGTATTTCAACTGCTGACTTCTTTCAAGTCTTAGAAGTTAAGCTTCCTCTCTGTTAGGCCTGGTTTCCCCATTTGTCTTCCAGTTTTCCCAAAGCAGCTCTTCTTAACCTTCCACATGTCCTGTAGATAATTAAAGTGGCCCTTTCTCCCTCGTGACCTTACTGGGCTCGTAGTCCCTATCTGTGGGACCTCACATTTTATTTATTGTCAGCACTGGGGCTTGAACTTAGGGTCTCACATTTGCTAGGCAAGTGCTCTACCGCTTCAGCCCAGCCCTGGGCCTCTCATTTTAACCACTTGAAAATGGCTTGCTTTCCCAGAATGACCTTACCTCATTCATTATTCTGCCTGGCTTATTCAGAAATCAGATGCTGAATATTCCGCACACCTCACTGCATGTCTTTTAAAAAACCAGAGAAATATCCGCACTTGTCCAGAAGTCCACAGGTGCTCTCTAACCAAGAGTAGGCAGTGCTCTTTATCTTTGTTGAGCCTCACATTTGCTAGGCAAGTGCTCTACCGCTTCAGCCCAGCCTGGGCCTCTCATTTTAACCACTTGAAAATGGCTTGCTTTCCCAGAATGACCTTACCTCATTCATTATTCTGGCCTGGCTTATTCAGAAATTCAGATGCTGAATATTCCGCACACCTCACTGCATGTCTTTTAAAAAACCAGAGAAATATCCGCACTTGTCCAGAAGTCCACAGGTGCTCTCTAACCAAGAGTAGGCAGTGCTCTTTATCTTTGTTGAGCCCCATCCAGACCAGTCGGTCTTCTTTCCATTTTTTTATAGTTATTTTATTCATATGTGCATACAATGTTTGGGTCATTTCTCCCTCCTTCCCCCCTCCTCCACTTCTTTTTCAACTGTGCCTGACTTGGAAGTAGCTTCTGCAGTTAGCACTAGAGATTGCTGGTGATGTTGCTCTACTACTTTATTGTCTTCCCCCTTGAGGGGGATTTGCCAACACCACCACCCCTCTCCCGCCTCAGGTAAGGTGAGTGGCAACCTGCCGCTACCTGTGGGTTACTCTTGAACACAGATGTCAGGGTGTCATGTCACTCACAAAAGCCTGAGTAGGGTACAGAAACCCTGTCGTGTTTTCATGAGATTTTGCATGTTTGGGGAATCTTGTAAACTGTAGCTGGGTTCTGTTGCTGTAGTAGGCCCTGCATCTAAAGAATTGTATTAAAGAAAGTCAAAAATGTCAGTTCCTAGAATGTTCAGTCAAACCTACGAAGTGTCAGTTTAGATCCTGCAGTTTGAAAATCCCACCCTTCCTTTTCAGTCAGCCATTCTCTTTTTTTCTCTTGGAGCAGCACGGCTTCAGTGATATTAAGGTGGAAGACACAGCCAAGGGCCATATAGTCCTGCTCCAGGAAGCTGAGACGCTCATCCAGATTGAGGAAGATTCAACCCATATCATTTGTGACAATGACGAGGTGCTGAGGGTGCGACTGCGGGACCTTGTCCTCAGATTCTTGCAAAAGTTCTGATCGGGACAGCTGAGCCATTTCCAGGCCCTGCAATCCCACACACAGCCTTCATCCTGGCTCCCAGCAGGGCCGAATGAGGAAAAGACCTGAAAGGCTGTGGCTCTCTCTGCTGCCCTCTGGCTTCCGTAACGAAGTTTGCAGCGGTGCCTCTGGAGGGGAATGGCCAGAATCTGCTAGCGTGACTTCCTCACAGTTTCAGCCAAGAACTGTCCCTTTAAACTATAGAGTCATTTTCTTCTCAGCTCTGGTGCTGCATCACTGAGAGGTGACCCAGCATGAAATAAGCCCTTTCCAAGAGGCTTATGGTGGACAGGAAGTAAAAAGATGACAGGCCTGTTGTCTTATATGGCTGTGTTCTCATGGCTCACAGGCCGTGGGCAGGGGAATTGGCTGTTGATCTTAACTTATTTACCTGCCTACAACCTGCACCTGTTAGGAAACACAATCCCCCAAAATTAGTAAAGTGAACCCTCTATTTGTATTTTATACTGTGGCCCATTTCGTTAAATAAAATTAATTTCTATAGAAATATCCATGCTGTGTTGAACAATATAAACAGTGATTTAACATCTTTAAAAAATAGAAAAATCTACAGAATATAAACTTAGAAAACTAACTCCACAACAGATTTTAGTTTCATGTGTACATTAAAATCATGTAACCCAGCATTACTTATTTTAAAATACAGCTATATTTCTTAAATTGTGTGAAAAGATACTTAACTTTAAGCTCAATCTGCATGATAAATACTGACACAGAGAACACCAGCCTTGACCTTCTGGGGAGACCCCTAGCAAGGACAGGCATGCATGGCATGATGATGATGAGGTAAGGACAGACCACACGGAGGCAGGTGGTCCCGTGAGATTATGTCACCTTGCAACATTGTAGTCTTCTTTGTGTTAAGTATACTTTATAATCATGACAAAATTGCTTAATATATTTCTCAGAGCATGTGACTGTAACTCAGGCTCCACTGCCTGTCACTGCCTTTCCCACAGATCTTCAGGTGTTCACAGACCCATGAGGAATGCTGAGGTTTTAAAGAAAAGTAACCTGTCTCCAAAGATTACGGCATTTAAAATAATGCTGGCTCTGAATTGTATAAATACATTTTCTAGATGTTATGTAATCTAAGATAGCATGAGGTGTAGCTCACAAACCAACTTCAAACATGTCACTTGGAGGCATGGCGGGTGAAAGCCTTAGACTGGATGACAGTTGGTGGTATGTCCAGCTGAGCCTGCTCATCACATGACTACTTGGACTGATTCAAAGTCCCTCAGCAGTCAGTCTTTCAACTCAGCTAATAGTTGAACATCGAAGAGGGACTTAGTGACCTGGGAACTACAGAAAATGCTGTCAGCTGGGCACCGGTGGCTCATATATAATCCTAGGTACTCGGAGGCAGAAATCAGGAGGACACACACACACACACACACAAAAAAAAATGGCAGTGGTAGAGCACCTGCCTAGCAAACTGAGTTCAAACCCCAGTACCACCAAAATTTTTTTAAAAGTAATAACTGCTCTAGTTTTGCGAAGAGTTGATTATCAGTTCTCTTGGAATGGTTGTATCACTGCAAATGAATTCATTAGAGGAAGAAAAAAAATTCATTTTTTCCATTTGCAGCTTGGCCAAACTTGGGCACAGAGATGCTTAAACAGACTTCTGTTTCTAAAGCTATAGGCCATCCACTCAAGAGGCCTTGGGTGCTACAGAGTAAGCTGTGGGAGCCCAGCATAGGGACAGATAGATAGGCATGAGGGCATGAGGAGAGATCAGTGTCCTATACTATGAAAATTTAGTTTGGTTCCTAGGAGGAGAAATGTAAATGTGCGTCAGTGTAAGTATCCTTTCTAATGAAACTTCTTTCAGAACAGAGTTGAATTTCAAATTTTAAAAACATCTTCAAAAATGTAAAACCACTATAAGCTCAAAAGAATCCCAAATGGTTTATTTTACTTAAGTGTCCTAGCAGTTCTGTGTCCAGAAATACCTTGAGATTTGTCCAAAGTGTGACTTCTGTTGAAAGATTTGATCAGAGAGCCCAAGGCAGTGATCCTTTGAGGGATGGTTACTAAGATATGAGTACAAACAAGTTGGCAAATGCCTCACAGACAGAATAATTTAAAAATTAGGCAACTTTTAATAAGGTCTTCACTACCTACTCAGTGGCAGAAAGCAGGAGAGAAAACATCTAAAACTGGCCTTCCCAAGCACTGGGAGAGAACAGCCCTAGCTGTACCTAAGGTTCGGGTGTTTGAAAACCAAACTAGTTGGTTAGAAGACCCAAAAGAAATGGAGGACGCAGCCTGTGAGTGCTGGAATCCTACAGACCGCGCTCTGCCCCAGGAAATGCAGCTCCTGGGTATTGACACCTTGGAAAGGAGTCTGGTGTGGAAAGAATCTCTGCTTAAGCCCAGTGAAATAGGAATGGTGAAATGGATATGGAGAAAATCTGAAAAAGAGCAGAGGGAGCTAGTTCTGTTATTCATTTAACTCTTTTAAAGTTCTAACAGCAAGGTCACTGTGCTTAGATACCCAGCACTTCAGGTGCCTGCAGAAGCAGGTAGAGCCCACTGTGAACAGAACAGTGGAGCCACCAGCTCACCTCCGACTCAGCCTGCTACTGGGAACCGGTCTTCCTTCCCTCTGCAGCGAAACTCACTGTGCCTCATGCTGTGCAGGACACTGATAATCTCTCTGGATTCTGAGCACTACTGATTTGTGAATTACTCTTTGCTGGAGTAACCTACTGACTTAGTTTGAGATGTGTCTTGCCTAAGTGTGAAAACTCACAGCAAAATGCTTTTAGTGGAAAGCATGAATATCTTCATTACTTGGAGTAGACACAAGTCTCACAAAAAGCAATAAAAGAAAAAAGTTACAATAAATTGTATCACCAAAAATCATCAAAACTAAAAATATTTGCTCATCAGAAAATACCATAAAGATGGATAGGCAAACCACAAATTGGGAAAAATGTTTTTCTTCACAACATATATCTGACAGTGGACTAGTATGTAAAGTTTTTCTGAAACTCAGAGACATAATATATCCATATGATGAAATATTCATTGATAAAACAAATGAGGTATTAGACCATGAAGAGACATGCAGGAATTACATGTATATTACAAAGTGAAAGTTACTCTGAAAAGCATATTATATTATTTCAACTACATGACATTTTGGAAAAGGGGAAAGGACAGTGGCCGCCAGGGGTTGGAGGATGGAGGGATGGAGGGAGAGGCATGGGAGGGGGGTCAGGGCAGTGAAAACTATGAATCACGTCATACATTTGTCAGCACCCATAGAATGTAGAACAGAATGAACCCTAGTGGAAACTATGCTCTTGAATTAACAAGGTGTACTCCTGTGTCAAGAGTGGCACATGTTACAAAGAATGCCAATCCCCTGGTCTCAATGCCAATTCACAAATCAGGAGAGCAGGGTTTTGAGGAAAAGGAAATACGGTTTATCAATCATCTGATAAAGAAGACAGGGAGAGTCAACCTCTCAAAACTCTTGTCACCCCACTTCTGAGAAAAAGTTCACTTTTTAAAGGGGAGTTCAGGGGCTCAGCTTAACTATAACAAAATGCATATCCCAGAATGGCTGCTGGCCTTGGTTCTCCAGGTGTCTGGAGTCACGTCTCCAAAGCTGTATGTCTTGGCTGACAGGTTTACTCCCCTGGTGGTCAGAGAAATAAGAGGTAGAAGTTGGTTTAGTTGAAGAGTAAAGGGAGTTAACCTTGAACTCTGCAGCATGTAGATGAGGGGGGAAATGTCACTTTGATTAACAAGCAGCATAAACTGGCCAGCATGCAACCTGGCTATGCCAAACGTTTTTCCCTTTTGCAGTCCTGGTTACATTTTCCCCACTGTCAATTTATTCCTTGCATTTCTATAGAAAAGAAGCATCACCACCTAACTGCTTCCTGTCTCAATTCCTGGGCCCAAAGAAGGCATCAGTGTCCCTCTGCAAAAGTGGCTTTTAAGGTCCTGTTACACAAGGATCTTACTAATACAAGGTGTTGATGGGAGACAGCAGGGGGCAGGGGAACTCTGCCTTCCACTCAGTGTTTTCTGTAAACCTAAAGCTGCTCAAAAAATGTATGGAAAATGTAAAAAAACATTAAGCAGAAAAAGACAACCCAATTTTTTTTAATGGGCAAGACTTTACACAGTAATGTCACATACATGGTGTAATCATGTGAAAAAGTGCTTAATGTTATTAAGTCACCAAGGAAGTACAAACAGAACCCATAAGATACCATTTTCACTCACCTGATGGCTAAAATCCAAAAGGCTGACAGCACCACAGGTGGGTGACGACATGGAACTGGAACACCCACAATTATTTCTGGAAGTACAAAGTGGAACAATCACTTTGGAAAAAGATCTGGCAGTTTCTTATAAAATTAACCATGTAAAAATCTACCATATCACCCAACAATTTCACTTATAGCCATTTACCCAAGACAAAAAAAAAAAAAAAGACATACATGAGTGTTCACAGCAGCTTCATTCGTAATAGCCCCAAACTGGCAACAGCCCAGGTGCCTATCAATACCTTGGACAAATTATATTAGGTTCACAAGGGAATACCACTCAGCAATTAAAAGTAACAAATTACTAAAACATGCAACACCGAATGGGTCACGGAAACATTGTGCTAAGTTTAAAGAAGCCTTACACAAAAAGCAAAAGTGACAATTTATATGAAATTCCAGGATAGGGAAAAGTACTCAAAGTGGAAAACTCAGAGCATTGTTTGTGTGAGGGGGTGGATGAGGTGGGGATTGACTAAAAAATGTCATGAGGGACCTTTCTGGGTTGATAGTAATGTTCTTTACCTTGAGAGGATACAGAGGTATACACACTGGTCAGAACGCGAGAGAATGCACACTTAACATTATGCATTGCGTACCAAGTGTGAGGCTTGGAGTTCAATCCACAGCAGCATTACAAAAGTAATTCTGCATTTCAGTGTGTAAATTTTTCATTATAAAACAGGGAAGGAATGTAGCTAAGTGGTAGAACACTTGTCTAGCATGTGCAACACCCTGGGTTTAATTCCCAGTACTGCAAAAAAACAAAACCATCAAAACAAATACTGAGCTCGATTAGTCAGTGTACTTAGAACATATAGCCGCACCTGCAGTTGGACAAAAGGATGGATGGGAATGGATAAATGGCTGAGGGACAGACAGCTATCCAGATAGGAATAGGGCACATACAAGTTTATTGTAGAAAGTGTTTCGACTTTGGTATATGTTTTATAAGAAAACACTGGGACGAAGAGCCTGAACAGAATTTAAAGAGTTCTGAGTGTGAACACAGCAGCCATACCACATGGCCACTTTCATAAACACAGACAAATGCAAAAAGCAAAACACTGCTTAGTTAAACCAGGTCAGAAAACAGAACATAAAACAGCAAGCCAAACCTGCCCTGGACAGGCTGTGACCCTACTTTAATCACTGTGCCTTCGGTTGTAGGCTCATACTCACTGTACTTGTCAAGAACTGAGTAATACTGTAAGATCTGCAGCAGGCATGGGAGGCTCCCTTTAACCTTGCGGGTGACCCAGGATTTCAGCACATTACTCCAGGGCCCTAACCCTAACTGCAGGCAGCACTGTCCTGAACTTGACAGTCCCACCAATAGCTCAAAGAAGTTGTTTTCTCCCTCTCAGGTGCTCTGGGGCCCAGGCAGGTGGTGACAGAGATGCACTGTGCAAAGGGCGAGCTCAGCAGGCCAGCTCCAGCCTCACCCGTGCATGGGTCACATGGCTGCTGCATGCCAGCCTGCTTTTCCTTAACCCCACTACCGGGAGGGACACTGACGGCCAGTGCACCTTGGGCTCCACTCCCAGCCTTCTCCCAGCTGCCATCCTCACCCTCTCCACAGGCCAGCCATCCCACAGACCAGCAGCTCTAGGGCCGTGGACCCCAAAAGTCCAGTCTCTGCCCGCGTGGAAGCACTGCCCACAGGTGCTTGTAGCAACTCCTTTCTGACAGCCATCTGCAGGAGGTCTTCTCCTCCCTCCTGCAGGCTCACAGCTCCCTCCAGCACCCTACAGCACAAGACACTTTAAGATGCCATAGGAAAATGAAGTGTATGGGTGTGTGCCCGGTCCCACTAAATCAATGACACCTATGTGCCTCTCTGGTCAAAACGACTCATCCCAGAAATGGACACTGGCAAGGCTGCTGCCCGTGCATGACAGCAAGCACCCCTCGCTCAGCTCCCAGACTGCTCTGTGGCCTGTCAGATGGCCCAGTCTGACTCAGCAGTGCTCCCAGCTGGTCATGCACTAGTGGTCATGGAACCAGACACGCACCTTGTTTCAGGTCACTCTTCTGTTCCTGCTGAGGACAATCACAAAAGACATCCACGCTGCTTGAGTTAAAGTCTCCATTTATTTTGTTTTTGTTTTTTTACAAAAATCCAATGTAAGACCATTGTGCTCATGGTTGGAGAAGGGTGGAGAGGATGGGCATGGCATGGTATTGGAGCCCCTTCAGAGCAGCATCTCACCAGGAACTCCCGTGCCCAGGAAATCCTGAAAGGCACACCCATCCTCCCAGACGGGCCCATTGTCCACACCACACAAGCACGGCTCAGGGCAAAGGCTCAGTGTGGCCTGATGAGCACTGGGGAGGCTGTCACTGATGGTGGCCTTGCCCTCAAGGTAAAGCGCCAACTGGCTAACTGGAAAACAGGCTGCCCTGGGAGCTGGGACTAGGTATCGAGGAGTGACCTGTGGGCATCCGAGGAGCTACTTTCCCGCATCAGAAGGCCCTGTGGTGGGGAGGGGGTCCCATGGTGAGCAGAATGGAAAGCAGGGCTCCCTCTCCAGCCTTACAGAGTGGCAGCAATTCCCAGAGGCACCTAACCCAGCTCTGCTCTCACTACTGAAACCTTCAGGAACACAGTGTCCACAGAGGATGCTTTTCAGGTTCCTGTCAGGCCCAGAGAGTGCTATCCCTGTTGGAGGCTCTGACATCATAGCCATCCCACAGCACATGTCAGTGGCACTGATGAGTGACCAATGACCTACAGGGACCCACAGATCGGCCCCACTGAAGGGGCTCCTATCACACACTGCTCCTGTCTCATCAGGTCCAACTGTGTCTGTTTACAAGTTCCTCACATTAAAAGAAACAGGATAAAATAGCAGCCACATATATAGCTCAAAACACCACACTCTTTGGCTCCCCTGAGGGAAGAAGGCTACTTCTAAAAAAAAAAAGTCAAAAGTCAAGGAACAGACAGAAAATTAGGATACAGGGAGTCTGGACCCCTCTGCTGGGTTGCTCAGCATAACCAAATTTCCCAGGTAGTCTCAGCAGGAGTTAGGTGCCAGTAGGCACTAGGGAGACACAGGCCAAAGAGCGGCCTGGTCCTGCTTGCCAATGGGGAGAGTTCCTATGCACACCAGCCATACCATGCATGGGAGCTACATGAAAGAGCCAGGCTTCAAATGATACTTGAAGAGAACTCACTTGGTATAGGCAAGCCAGAAGTGAATGTACCCAAGAAACAGAAGCACAGGATGTCAAGGTCTAGGGAAGACAGAATGGCTTAAGGCATGTACGTGACCAGGACAGACCTGAGCTTTGTTCAGTTGCCGGAAGCCTATATTCCATTCCACTTCAAGAAAGTGGGGCTTGGAAAACAGAGAAGTCACGGGCAAAATCCCTGACAAACCACACTAACACCCTCCTCATTTCCCTATTGCCACCATGACCCAAGTTAGCCCAGGGAACAGAAATTTAAACAGTAGTGGGAAGTGGTAATGTGGGATGTGAATGCCATGGTTCTAGCACATACCAAACCTCAGGGAGTCTTACAGCCAACCTAGCATTAGGGGTCCAAAAACCACAGGTAACAGGACGGAGGCCCAGGGTGGGGGAAAGGTGAATTTCACCAAGGTATTATCCCAAGGCAGGCGCCTTGCTCTAAGATTTCCCGGCCTGCCGGGTAGGTCTCTCAAAGGGCACTCACTTTGTCCTACACCACAGAGAACTTCCCTGCCTGTGCACCTTCAGACTGCACCTGGAAATGAAGCCCACGTCCTCCTGCTGTCTCATCTGCAAGAGGACACTCAGGAAGCCTGGAGCCCAAAGTATAGCATGCTGTAATGAGAGGAGCCACAAAGAGCCACTGGGCAGTGCAGGCCTCATTCTTTGCTTGCTTACTCTCTCTCAAACAAGGAAGAGATGGCACAGCAGAGGTAAATCCTGTGACTGTCACTGCCTAATGAATCCTCAAAACCCACTGGAGTCAGCAGAAGGCCTCTCAGCTGCTCAGCACCAGTGCAGGTCCTTCCCAATCACCCCATGAAGAGAAGCTGAGTGACAAGCCACTGACTGGCAACAGAGAGGGCTGAGAGCAGACGGAGGGACCTGGTCTTGCCAGGGCCCCGTGAGAAGGCCAAGTCCATCCTTTCCTTGTTTCTACACTCACTGAAGATAACACAAGGCTTAAATCCATCTCCACCAAAATACAGAATGTAGGGAGCCTGGTGGGTCCCTCTCTTGGAGAGATAGGCAAAAATTTCAAATGCCCCCGCCAAATATATATATCTCTATGTATGTATATGTATGTGAGTGTGTGTGTATATACATGTATGTATACATACGCACACATATATAAATAAGCCTTGAATGGCAGATCTGAAACTTTCTTTTTAAATAATAATAATAGTTGTTATTGAGTTTAAAAACCACAAACCAGCTGTCCTGGGCTTAGGAACTTGTGAGTAACTCTCCAGAGTCATGGTCCTCAGTGTACACTATCAGTCAGTGCCCCGTGTGGAAGCACCAAGTCTTCTGACCGGGCACCAGGCTCAGTGTGGCCGACTTCAAGATAAAGGCAGCTATTTCCTTTCCACTCTTCCTGCTGCTTCTCCCAGCAGAGGGTCTGGGCCACCCACCCAGCAGACGTCCCCAAGGTCCTTTAATGCCTGGGAGCTTGGAAGCCATCACTGTCACTCTGCCTGTCCTCTCCCCAAAATTTGCAGTGCCCCTAGATGAACTTGAAACACTTGGTCTTGTCATGGGGCAGGCGGGTCTTGAAGAGCACAGAGTCCACCCTGAACTGAGTGTACAGGAGGGGCATGTAACCATACACCTTGACAAAAAAGTTGATGCATTTATGTCGCTCATGAAAGTGGGAGTCATCATGTGACAGGGCCTGAGGGCATCCTGGGCATCGGAAAGTCCACCGTGATGTCACCTGGGAACAGGGAAGAAAGAGTAGAGTGAGGACCACAGTGCTAAACCCAACAGAAAACTTGCAGCTTTACCAATTCGACACCACATCCACAGTGAAGCCACTGAGTCCCCAACAGCTACATTCAAAGAGTCAGGGGCTGTGGCACCAGCCCAGGGCTCCTTTCTATCACATGTGTATCTCAAACATTAGTAAGGGATTCTTTCCAAATGGCCTATGTTTAACAGATTGTAAAAGCCTTTAAATGTTTGTTATTTGTCTCAGTAATTCTACTTCCAGTATTGATCTTGGTTGCATAGCAAGACGGTGGCACGAAATTGTTCATTTCACCAATGTTTCTAATAGTAAAATACTGGAAAATCAGTATTCATTAAAACGTTTAAGAAAACTGTATTTAAAGACATGAGAAGGTGCTTATAATCTAATTGTTATTAGGAAACATCAAAGAATTTAAAAAGTATTATTATTAAAGGTATTATTATTATTACCAATCAGCATAAGCACCCCCTCTGCAAAGTCCAACTGGAGACTTGAAATCCTAAAAAGGAAAGACACAGGCATGGGATGGAGAAAGCCCAAAGACAGATGGTGGAAAAAGGTTTTCTTCTCATGCTCAGCTCTAAGTGGAAAAGGGAAAGTCACTGCTGAGACTGTCTCACATGGGAGGGATGAAGAAATTTATGTGACTTGTGTGTCAGGTGAGGCACCAAGATGGTTACGACTTAGCTTAGCCAGGTGTCATGTAGGCAGTGACCCTAGGCACAGGGAGAAGCAAATGCAAATACCCACTTTGCAAATTCAGGCCTCAAAAGAACTGCCTTCAATAAAATCCCAGAGAATAGGATCTCAAACAAAAGTCACACCAAAAGGAATAAGCCACATAGGGAGAATCTGCAGAATCTGCAGAGACAGATTCAAAACACTAAAGCGTAGAATGATAGCAATGTGTATAAAATGTTCAATGAAATTTTGAAAGACAAAGTCTGATGAAGAAACAAGGGTCCAGGCACAGTGGCTCATGCCTATAATCCCGGCTACTTGAGAGGTAGAGTTCAGGAGGATCACGGTTCAAGGCCAGCCCACACAAAAGTTAGTGAGACACCATCTCAATAAGTTGTCACAGTGACAAGTGCCTATCATCCCTCCTCGGCGGGAAGCATAGGTAGAATTGTGACCCAAGGCCCACCCATGTGAAAACACAAGACCTGAAAAATAACCAAAGCAAAAAGCGCCAGAGGTGTGACTCAAGTGGTAGAGCACCTACCTAGCAAGCAAGGCCTTGAGTTCAAACCCCAGTGCACCAAAAAAATAAATAAATAGAGTCTTAGAGGATATGAAAAGGAACAAACAGAATGGAAATTTTAGAAGTCTATTAAATTAGGTATCCAATGGATAGGTACAAAAAGAAAACCAGCAACAAAAGGTATATCTAAAATTATTACCCAGGATGGAAAACATTGGTAAGACAGAAAATCATGAAAGCAAGATTAAGAGACATGGAGAAGAGATCCTGTATGAGGCCATTCACTTAAGCTCAAACAGCCACACTGATTCTGAAACAGAAAACAGAACACTGAATAAAAACTCAGGAAATCTGAACAGAAGATGGAGTTCAACAGAGTAATTCATCAGTGCTGGGACATCAGTTGTGACAAATGTGCCACACCAACATAAGATGTCAGCAACAGGAAGTGAACAGAAGTACACAGGAACTCTACAGGAGCTTTAAAACTTTTGTGGAAATGTATTTTAAACAAGATTTTTTTTTAAAGTTTATTTTAAAAGTAAGCTATAGGACTGGAGGCATCACTGCCTAGCAAGTGCAAAAAAATACATAAATAATTTACTTAATTAATTACAGTTTAGGGATACACACTCAGGTGATAAAAGCACAAAGAAGCTGGGCACAGAGCTGCACACAAGAAGCTGAGGCAGGAGGATGGTGAGTTCTAGGCCACCCTGGGCTACAACACAAGACCCTGTATCAAAAACCAAAAAAATACAAAGAAAAAACCTCCCCCCTTGCCACTCCCCCCAACTCACCAGGAGCAGTCAAGCCCTGCAGGTTTAGTCCAGGAGGCACTCCCACCCTGCCACCAGCTCACAAGACAGGAGGTGGTGTCAAGAATATAGAAAGCGCTTGCCTAGCAAGTGTGAGGCCCTGAGTTCAACCCAGTACTGAAAAAAACAAGAATGTAAAGAAGACAGCTGGGTGTGGCAGCACTCAGGAGGCTAAATCAGGGGGAATGCAAGTTCTAGACCACCTTAGGCTACAAAGAGACCCTGTCTCAAAAAAACAAAACAACAAAAACAAAACTTCCCAAGAATAGAGAGAAGAATGCAATGAAATGGCTTCATGGCCAGCACTCCACGCTGTTCTCGCTGTACCTGAAAACCTTCCTCCTTATCCCAGACACCAAAGTCCAACCTGGGGAGAAAAACACCCCATTTGACAACAAAAAGTGATTTTATAACTATTGTTTTAACTGAAACAGTATTTCCATTTTCATCACGTGATCCATCAGTGCGTTTTGGAGTCTGTGCCCAACACGGTTAAAAACACATGGGAGCACACACACGCTGAGGTGGAGTTCGTTACCGAGCAAAGCCTGCGCATGCACTAAACCATCTGGGGTTTATGCTTTCCACAGAGTGCTCCAGGGCTCCACATAACAGGAATGCAGGTGTCATGCTTAGCAGCAGTCGGGAAAATCCTTGGTGTCACCAGACAACTAGGGTGCTGCTTATTATCTTCCCTCTCCTCATCCTTGGCACTTAAGCCACCTGTCTCCTCATGGTTTTTTTTGTGTGTGTATGTGTGTGGTGCTGGAGATGGAGCCCACGGCCTTGCACATGCTGGGAACATACCCTACCACTGAACTATATCCCCTGCCCCACCTTTTAGGTTTTGTTCTTTTTGACAAGCTCTTGCTATGCAGCCCAGGCTGGCCTCAAACTTCTCATCTGCCTCACCCTCCCAAATGGCTGAAATTATAGGTGTGTACCACCACACCCCACTTCTCAGTGCTAAGTGAGTGCTTAATCCTTTATTTTGAATGAAGCCTTTTTACATACTAGGTCTAGTAGTATAAGTATTACTACCCAAAACACTAATGCTATATTAATCCCTTGGTTTGGGGGTTGATTTTGGCCGTACTGGCATTGGAACTCAAAGCTCTGCACTTGCTACCCACGGTCTCCTGCACTTGAGCCACACCTCCAGCCCTACCCTGTGTTTTTGTTTTTTTTTTAGTCAATATTGTTAAGACATTGAGCATTATTGAAAGAACACTGCTAAAGTCAAACCTAATTTAAAGGAGGAAGAAGTTGAAACTTCCCATTTCAAACAAGGAAGAGAACATAATGACAGTGAATATTCTAGGCATTTAAAACAAACAAAAAAAGCCCTCACACTGTTTTTATACATAAGAGTACATATAACCAATACTATTAAAATGAGGTAAATTAATAAAATACTTATTTCACACTGGTTCTACACTGTGAATAATCAGAATTTGAAAATATTCTTTATTGAGCATTTGAAATAAATGATCATACCTTGAATTGAATTCTTATATTTCAGTAGAATTAAAAAAAATTCAGAGGACTTGTCGGAGTGGCTCAAGTGATAGAGGGTCTGCCTAGCAAACATGAGGCCATGAGTTCAAATCCCTGTATTGCCCCCCAAAAAAAATTTTTTTAGAGAATACTGACTTTTGAGGCTTTCACTTGGTAAGAAGTATGTATACTAGGTTCAAATTATGTCTACACTACTGAAGAGATGGTTTAGCTAAAGAAACACTGGCCTAATAATACAGTAGACAAACATGTCTTAGGGTTTTTTCCTTATCCAGTTTTTAAAAAAATTATTAGTACATGTTAACTGTAAAAAAGACAGGTCTCATTATGACATTTTCATACAGGCATATGACATATCATATTCACTCCCTCCAAAGAAACGTGTTTAAATGAAAATAAAAATTCCTCATGTCCTGAGTGCTTAGGTGAGGATCCTTCGGATACTGTAAAATGTTCAAGAGCAGTGTCTTTTGACCACCTGGAAGGCATAAATAGAAGCATACGCCTGGACTAAAGCCCAGTCCCTGACCATATAAGAAAGGGCAAGTAAAGAACAGAAAAATGAGTCAAGCATTAATTCCTTTCTCAGACCTTTGCCTCCTTACAGTTTACAAGAAGAAGCTTTACAATCTTTCAAACTGGCTCTAATACTTTTTAAATAACAGTTGTTAAGTTTTATCACTCACAGATTTTAAAGCCAGCCATTATTTACCTAATTGCTCTTCTTTTGTGAGGCTTTGACAGAAGTCTAAGCAGGAGAAGGCACTGTGGTAATCAGGAGCTAAGGTAGAAATGGGAGCCACATTTGGAAAGGGTGTGACTGGGTACAAATGGATGCACAAGGCCACCAATGCAATTCTCTCAATCCCTGTTATGCTTTACTGCCTGGAACTAGTGTCCTCTAGCTAACAATACAATGCAAGTTATTAGTGCATGCTGGTAGGGATTGTGTCTGGAAGTTACCTACAAAACAGAAGAATGGGGCTAGGTGTGTGGCTCAAATGTGAGTGCCTGTTTAGCAGGTATAAAGCCCCGAATTCAAACCCCAGTACCACCAAAAAAAGAAAAAAAAAAAAAAAAAAGAAAAGAAAAAGAAATACAATATGCACATGATTATTACTTACTCTCAGCAGTATGAATCCCACAAGGTAAGCCTACCCCTTAGCAGAGAGCTTTAACCTGTTGCCTGAACCTGCAGTGGCTGTGGAGCTAAGCTTTCTATGCACTGAGTGTGAATTTGGTTTACTGTAGCCCAAACACACTCAGCAACAACAACAACAACAAAAAAAAATGACAGAATTGAAATTTTTAAGAATTCTGAGGGAGAATTCCAAGATGGTGGCTAGAGGGAGGAAGCAGAAAGCATGCCTCCTAAAGTAAAATCTTGGAGAGACGCTGGGAGAGTCACCTTACAGGAAAAACCA